TATATATATACTAGATATAGTAGTCTCACCTCTTTTTCTCATACCCATCTTCAACCCTGGCTTTCAAGAACACCTGGTATTTCTGCCTCTGATTTATATCCAATCTAGTCATGCCAAGGATGTGATAGTTGTGGACACTACTCCACCACCTGCCACTCTGCTGCATAACTCAGCACTTCCAAACTCTTTCACCCTCCCATCTTGGTCTGAGCTCTTGCCAACCCTGGCGTTTTCTGCCTACACACTTGGTAACACAGCAGGAGGGGCTGAGGTTAGACTGCAGGTAGAATTTCATGCCTAAGAGACACAGACTTCTGAAGAAAATCAGGCCCAATTGTCAGCCCCTCAGCACTGCCTCATGTTCCTCTCCTGTCCTGCAGCTCCCAGAACCAGCTGGCCAGCTCCTCCCATCCCAACACACACACTTACACCTGCTGCCTCAAACACCAAACAGATGCAGGTGTCAGGCATGAGATCTGTTTGTGCTAGTGGGAAGGCAGTTCTGCTTGAAATCTCACCTCCAACCCCACAGCCCCCACTCCTGGGCCCTTTCCCCTGGTTCTGAGGCTTCTGGAGTTCTTGAGTGATGCAAATAGCTGTACTATTAACTGAAAGGATGGTGGCATGAACTTAACTCAGAGGAACCTCAAAAGAAAGGTTTAGCAACATGTATCTGAAAGGTCAGTCTTCAGATTTGTATAATGTGCAGTTCTGTTCTATACACATAGTGTTGCCAGGAAGGAGAATTGGCTTGGTGGCAGTGGGAGGTTATTTCAGCTAGTCTCCTACCTCCAGGCCTAACAGTTTTTCTACGGTAACCTTGTCATGCTGTTTGCTCTTCAAGCCCCCTCAGGAGGTTTGTGAGGGCCCACCTACAATCCTTCTTTTACTATCAGACATTAGAGCCTCAGAAACACACCTTATTTGGGCTTGGGAAAAGACAGAAGCTACCGGTACCTAGCTGTCCCCTCTACCCTAGTAACCCAAATTTAAGAAAGTATGTGTGTCTAACCTTTCCCTTCACACCTAGACCTTACTCTACCAAACGGTGGAAGCATGAAGAAGGAACACTGACTCCAACCTATCCCAGCAGGTCACAAAGATTTTTATTTATTTATTTATTTATTTTCAGGTAGGAAGTCCCAGTTATAGAGCCCTGACAACTGGATGGAGGAGACAGAGAATTGACCTTGTGGGCTATGCTTTAGGAATGAGGATGCCTAGGCAAACAGAGAATACAGGAGACGTAGAATGAGCAAATATTTGGCTAACAGGCAGTAGTAATGACCATGGGTGGTCACCTGCTCCACACACATGCTCACTCTCACTGAGACACACACTTGCTCACACACTCTCACTTCTGCCAGGCTGCTCAGAGCTAAAAATAGGCCAGGCCAGAAGGCTGGGCCAGGGCCCTGGACCCTTTGAGTGTAGGCCAACACAGGCTGCTCTCTTGAATATTGCTTAGCTTGGACCCTAGGCCCTGCAAAGCTCCTCCTTCTGGCTTTTCAATACCACTTTCTCCACTCCACCGCTAATCCTGACTCCAAAGAACAGGAGTTGGGAATGAGAACCCGGGTTGTCATTCCCTCCTTCCAGCCACTGCCCTTTTGATTTTCTTCAGCCTCTTCTCTGATCATTCTCTGGAGCCCTGCAAGGTGCGCCTCAATTAAGGAGGGGGCAAAGAGAGCGGGTTTTCCTTTCCCCCCTGTTTTGGCTCCTACAAGCACCGGGCTCTATCCATTACTCGCTCTCCCTCCCTTACCCACTCCTGCATTGCTACTTGCACCCCTAAGCACCCCCACCCGAGCTCAGAAACTCTGGCGGGGGGCTGACTGGGTGGAGAATTAGTGAAGGGCGGAGGGCTTGTGTCCTCCCTCCCTCAGGCCAGCCGTGGACTGGAGAGACAGAGGACGGCTCTTGAGGGGACAGGCGTCGAGTGCAGAAGCTCATCTTTCTGTTGGTTTCGAAGAAGCCCAGATGGGGAGACGGTGCTTTCGCGGTGGGGGAGGGGAGAGAGGACCCCCAAACTGAGCTCATTCTCCCCCACAGAGGCGCACTGCTAAGGAGGGACTGGGCAGGGATCTCGGGTCCTCCCAGTCCAGGAGTCCCTTGTCCTGTGCTGGGCGAGTCCTCAGCCGCTCCCTTGCTCCTCACCTGCTCAGCTGCCTCGGGGTCAAGGTGCGGCTCCAGGAGCGGGACGGTGAACTGGATCTTCCGGGGGCTGTTGTCTTGATCCATGGCTGGGGCGGTGGCCTGCGGGCCGGCGCTGTGGCGGGAGGGAAGTAGGCAGCACTCGGGGCTGGGGCGGGCGCGCTCCCTCTCCGCAGCGCTCCAGCCCCGGCCCCAGCCCGGCGCGCACGGCTCCCAGCTTCGAGCTCCTGCTCGCGGCTCCGGGGACTCTGCAGACGCTGATTGGCTCCGTACCCGCCCCTCCTGGGCCCCCTCCCCCTCCCCCAGCCCGTTACCTTAACCCCGTCGTGGCTGCGCCAGCGGATACGCGAGGGACTCAGTCCTGCAGACTCGTGAGCTGGGGCGTGGTCGAGTCTAAGTCTTAGAGGACTGTAGGTGCAGGTTTCCATACCCGGGGTATCCGTGGAGTTCTGGGCAAGGAGCCTGGGAAGCAACTACATGGAACTTCTCTAAGCTGGGGAGAGTCCAGAGGCTAGCAGGGTGGAGGGGTGCATCTGAGAAGGGGGCAGCAAGTGAAAGATTTATGATCTTAAAGGAGCTTATCTCTTAAAACAAGGAAAGGAGATTTGGGCAAGAAGCAAGAGGGAGGGACTGAGGTTAGAATTGGAGAGCACTTTCCTTCAATTGAGTAACAGTAGATCAGAAGTGAGCACTTGGAGAGGAGTTGCTGGTTGTGTGCAGAAAGGTGGGCCTGAAAATCTTCAAGGGTCTTTCAGAAGCCTGTGCCACTCTTGAAATGCTGAGAGGCAGAGAGCTGGGAAGAGGGGACCATCTGGGATTTAGCAGAAGGAGTAATGGGGGTGGGGAGCTGATAAAGCTTGTGAAATAGATTTCTTTCTGCTTGCTAAATTATAGGGATCCTAAAGTAGGTGAAGGGCCTGCAAAGGGAGAATGCTCAGTGGTGGAGAGAGATGGTCATTTGGTCAGTGGCTTGCGTATATAGATGGAGATGGTTTCCAATTCCAATCATAGGCGGAGTAATGAAAAAATATCAGCTGTAACTGAAGAGGTGGGTGGAAGTTAGACTATGTGAATAACTTGCTGGCTGTAGGCACTAAGATGTCAACCAGCATTAGTGAGTGAGGGAAAGAGAAAGGTATTCATAGGATCTGGTGGGCCTTTTGCAGGGATTGGGGAGCACTGAGCAGAGGGAAAAGGAGAGAAGGGGTACTCTACAGAGTAGGGCTTGTTGAATAAGGTGGAGAGAGGGAAATGTAGAAAAAAAATGAGGTGAAGAGGAGAAGGGGAGTGCTTGGGGTGGGGCTAGGGGTGGGGAGAAGGACATAGGACATTTTAGTCTTAAAATGAGTATCTGGCAAGTTACCTGTAGATGTATGGCCAATTCCTTGGAGACACTCTGGTCATCCTCTAATAGGTCAGACTCAACACTCATTTGCCTCCTCTCCTTGGCAGCCCTTCCCTGGCCTGTATTTCACATGGCCCCTTCCTCTCTTACCTCCCAAAATAACTTCACTCCCAAGACATATCTTTTTACACATGACAGGCCCAGCTCAGCTTTCTCGAGGTAAGGCTGGGACATAGGGACATAGTGGACCCTGAAGTCTTCAGTCAGCTGGACCTCCAGTCACATGTTGACTGGTTCCTGTTTTCCTGTAGCCAGGATTCTAGAAATGGCCCCTGCACCCAGCTTGCACCTGCTGTGACCCTTTGCGCGCTTTTTGTGTAGCCGAGACCATGCCCTTCTGCCTGCAGAAATAATAGTGGAAAAGGGTGAAGCAGAAAGAATAAGGGTGGGGTGGGGGCTGCAGGGCCTATTGGAGCTCAGGTGTTTGCTGTGGCTTCTTCCCACTCCTCCTCCCTCCTCAACCATGTGCTCAAAAAACAAGGTCCAAAGTGTCCTCCAGATAAGTGATTGTCTACCAAAGACAGGATTCTCACATCCCTGTATTCAGCTTCTAGGTTGCTTCATTGAGCCTTGATTTTCTTATTTGTAAAATGGTTAGAATAGTCCCTACCTCATAGGGTTGAATGATATGAGGTAAAGTTCTTGGCACTAGAAGGCCTTCAATTAATTAATGTTATTGTTGTGTGTCATTGAATTGGACCTGACTCATAACTGACTCTCCGTGAGGTTTTCAGAGGCTGTAACTTTCATGTAAAGAGATTCCTCATCTTTCTCCCACGGACCATTGGTGGATTTGAACTGCTTGCATTTGGGTTGGCTGCATAACTCCTTAGCAATAGGCCACCAGAGCTCATGGTAGTGTTGTTAAAGTGCCATGGAGTTGATTGAAATTCAGAGTGACCTTATGAACAATGGCTCTGAACCCTGCTCTATCCTGAGTCATCCCACCAGCTCCTACACACACCTGAGCCCTTTGTCATAGTCACTGTGTCAATCCATCTTGTTGAGGGTCTTCCACTCTTGCTCTGACTCTCCACTTTTCCAAGCACGTTGCCCTTTCCAAGGGCTGGCCTCTCCTAACAAAGTATGTGAGACAAAATGTTGCCATCTTTGTCTCCAAGGAGTACCCTCTTTTCACTTTCTCTTGGCAGTCCATGTGTTATTCAATTCTCTTCTCCAACACCACAGCTCAAAGACATCAGTCATCCTTATTCATTATGCAACTTTCAGATTAAAAGCAAGCAATTGAGGAATTCATGGCTTGAATCATGTGCACTGCAGTCTTTAGAACTCCGGAGAGGTCTTATGATAACCAGTTTCCCCAGTGTGTCTTGTCTTATGATTACTTGACTCCCAGTACCAAGGGTGTTGATTGTGGATCCGAGTAAGAGGAAATTATTGACCTTTTCTATCTTGTCTCCATCTATCATGATGCTGCTTATTAGCCCAGGGGTGATTTTTGTTTTCTTGATGTTGAGATGCAATCCATATTGAAGGCTGTATGTAGTCTTTGATCTTTAAGTGCTTCAAGTCCTCCCACTTTCAGCAAGCAAAATTGTGTCATCTGCATAAAGCAGGTTGTTGATGAGTCTTCTTCTGATCCTGATGTCCTGTTCTTCTTCATAAGTCCAACCTCATGATAGATGCTATTATCATTGTTTTGTTATCTCCTAGTAGAACAGCAGCACTAGAGCTGTTAAAAGAAGACTCTCCCACCTAATGGCAAGAAGCAGCACTGCAATCCCAGAGGTGCACGATTCGAATCCACCAGATGCTCTGCTGAAGAAGGAGGGACAATCTCCTCCTGTACCAGTCAGATCCAATTTGATGGTACACACATAAAAAATTATTAAAAAAAAGAAGACTCTCCCACCACACCCCCGTCCTCCGATTTGGCTAAGCCTCCTTCATAAGCCACATTCCCCTATGTGACTATAGACACACCTCACCAAGTCTCATATCTACCCTCATGCAGACTTCTCAAGGGCCAGATTATATGAACCCTCCCTCTTCGAAGCTTCAGACAAAGAGGAGGCCACAAGAGCTTAAGCACCCACCCTAGAGAGATGGTTGATGAGTGATGAGATGCTCTGTGGGAAGAGAGATCCTGGGAGCAGCAGGTGCCGTGGAGGAGGAAGGGGAGGAGAGAGCCAGGAGAGGGAAGAGTGTCAGCCTCTGGTACTGGCTGTGGGAGAGGAGGCTGGGGGCAGGTGGGCGTAGTGTTATGAGTAGTGGGGAGGCGGAGTGTGACTGGGTGCAGCCTTGGGTTCTGGTGTCTCCATGTGAACTGGAATGGGTCTGTGGGTGAAGGTGTGTGCATCTCCTTTTGACCTTTATACCCAGAGTTGGGTGGGGCACTGTGCATACTTAGAGGCTTGTGGGTGTAAGAAGGAGTGGGCTGCTCATTGTGACAGGACAAAGGGGGATTGGAGAGGGTCACTTGCCTGCCCTTAGACTTGTTTCTACAATGAGTTAAGGCTTAGAGGCTGTCCTGTCACAGCCCCTTCCCCTCACTAATGTGTTTCGTGTGCTTTTGTGTGTGTGTGTGCGCAAAGCTTCACATTCCTGGCGCAGGCACAGCCTGGCTGAAGGAGCAGCAGCTGTTCTACATAGGTGCACTTCTGGGTCCATGAAATATTTAAGATGACAGGGATGTGACTTGGTGATGCAGTCACTTAATAGCTGCTGTCCTCCTTTGCTCTCTGGCTGGGCTCAGGGTTAATGTGGCAGTCCTCTGCTGCTGTCAGCGCTTTTTGCCTCTGTTTATCTTACTCTCTTCACCCCCATTTGCCTTCTTCACCCATTAATTAATGGAGCCTCACAACCATCCAGGAGGAAGGAAGGGAGGTATTTGGTTATAATTTTATTTTCAAGGGCAGGATGGTGGAAAGAAGTATTAGGGGATGGGCTGGCTGGGCTGCATTTGGAAGGTTTTGCTCCTATTTTGTGCTCTGTCATCAACTTTTTGGTGACTCTAGGGATAATCACTGCCTCACTTCTCTCAGTTTCCTCATCTGCAAAATGAAAGTATTAGGTATCTCTGGCTTTCTTCTTGTTTTAATATGCTGTTGTTTGGAATTAAGGTTGCTCCAGCCACACACAAGCCAGGAGTCAGCAACCTCATCTCCATCTTTGCATTTCTGTCTTTGCATCTCTCTCTGCCTGGCCAGTGCGTGTTGAAGACGTTATGCACGTGCACTTTCTCACACACACAGCTCTGGGGCAAGGCCAGGGGCTGATTTTTGACACCCAAAAGAGCAGCAACCCCATCTAAGTGGTCCCTGCGGAGAAGCCATCTGCTCATGCCAGTGAGTGACGCCACAGTTTCCCAAACATTTCTGGAAGCTCTTTTTGGAATTCTCTTAGAACGCTCTGAAAAATCCTCACTGGAGAGTCAGTCTTTGTCCTTTGGGCTGACTCTGTTCTTCTGGAAATGACTGAGAGTCATTAGAAGTGGTACCTTGTGAAGGAGGGAGGACAGGCTGTGTCTGAAGCAGAGGTTCAGTGCTGCTGGGCTGCAAAGCTCTCCCTGAGGTCTCTTTGCAAGAGGAGTTTCCTCCAGCTGTCTGTGAGTTTCAGCAGCAACACAGTAGTGGCTCCGTGCCTCTTAGGGGATGACTTGGAAAGCCCACCCTCCCCCAACTGTCTAAGTCCTGGTTTGCCTGCGAAAAAGCCCATCATTACACACTCCTGCCAGGCTTGTGTGTGCTCCCCCTGCAGCTGCACTCTCGGGAATGGGGCCAGAGCTGGTGATTCAAGGAGAGGGGATGCTTGTTTCCAAAATATTTTGCCTCTACTGGAACCACAAACTGGAGGAAGTGGAAGACACTTAGAGATCA